GAGCAATAACACATGTTTTTTCTTATGTTATTAATCTTCTTTTTTTTTCTCGATACGATGATGAGTAAGGTAAAACAAGGTTCATAAACCAGCATTTTCCAAACAGAGAGAACACAAAATGGTTGCCAGAATAGCTAGAAATTACATGTTAATTAGAATTAGGATTTCGTTCTCACATAATTCAAACATAAGAAATAGAACCCAAATAACGTGAATTATTGAGAATGAGAGAAGGGTAGTGAGACTAAAGAATGACCTCGATCAGGGCATTGGTGTAATGGATGAAAAGTTTCACTTAAGACTTTCTTTCAGTGGTAGGGTGGGAGTTCACCATTCTCTGCCATGAACATGGGGTTTGGGTTTGCAATAGGCTCCTTGGGCAAATTATTGTGTGGACCAATGGTCGGTCCACAGTGTTATGTGGATAATAATAAAAAAGTAACTTTTTAATATATAAAAGTATATTATTTGTGTACTAAATGTACATTATACAAAAATTTTAGTACTAATACAATGTAAATTTTTAATATACTAAAAGTATATTATTTATATACTAAATGTACATTATTTGATAGAATGATCCACACCTACAGCGGTCCACACAATAATAATTAGGCTCCTTGTGCACGATAGTGTACAATTTAGTATTTAGACTCGAAACTATATTGTCTGGCCTCCTCATGGGACCTGTGATGGAGGGAAGGGTTTATTATGAGATTTATGATATAGTTCAGCGAAATTAGAAAATTGAGGTTATCAAAAAAAGAAAATTGAATTGAATGAATGCTAGAGGTTGTTGGAATAATGTGCAAGTGGGAATGCAGTATAGTACCACGTAGTAAAATCACAAGCTGGCAATGTTTCATCCTAGAAAAGCACTTGACACTATGGATAGAAAAGAGAGGGGTTGAAATATATAGAAAAGGCTGAACCAAATCTGAGATGTCAACTTCATGCCATGTCTCTCTTGTCTGTATTATTAGCATTCATTACATATATTTGCTTCCTTGTCATTTCAATCTTTTCCACACTATATTTAACCTCATCCAAATACGGAGGGATCTAGAAATATTATTTATTAGGAGAATCATATCACAACTATATGCGATATATGTAAATATAGCATTACGTCCGCATGGGCTAATGTAGGGCAAATTATGCTGTGCATCCGTATGCACCATGCATGGTGCATACGGATGCCAAAACGACGTCGTTTTAATAAAACGCGCGTCTCCCCCTAAAAAAAAAATCAGGTTCGATTCCCAGCAATAACATATGAACTAAAATTTCATAATCGATGAACTATAATTCCATAATCGATGAACTATAATTCCATAATCTAATCTATGAACTAAAAATTTCAGAATGAATGAACTAGAATTCCATAATCTATAAACTAAAATTTCAGAATCGATGAACTACAATTCCATAATCGATGAACTATAATTCCATAATCAATGAACTATAATTCCATAATCTATGAACTAAAATTCCAGAATGAATGAACAATATAATGTTGTTGCTGGGAATCGAACCTGAATTTTTTTTAAAGGGGAGACGCGCGTTTTTTAATAAAACGACGTCGTTTTGGCATCCGTATGCACCATGCATGGTGCATACGGATGCACAGCATAACGATTGCTAATGTAGGTATTATGCTTAAAGTATGCAGATCTCTGTGAGTGCACCAGGCTAAAAAATTATCGTGATTTATATCCTCCCAAATGCTGGCTGGGTGTGAGGGGTCCTGAAAGTTTGGGAGGAGAAGCATTACAACATCTAGCATTCTTATCAATATTGTAAAACTAATTTAAATTTGTCTTGAATCACGTTCATAGAGTTTGACTCTTACTCGATAAAAAGTCTAACTCATATTGTTTTAACATGACATAACACACTCTTTATAGGAATCAAACCCCTAACTTTTATGCACTCAAATTTGTAATGAATAGGTAATAATTCTCATATACACATTACACAAATTGATGATAATACAAACGTAATTCAGCATTGAGATGAAATTCAACATATTATAATCTTACAAAATTAAGGATTTAATTGTTTAAAAAGTATGATTTAATAATGTAATGTGGTATAATATGGTTTTTTTTTTGTGTGTGTGTGATAACGGACAAGAGAAACTCGTAATCACTATCCGAATAGGTGTAGAGGTAAACCCCGCCTTGTGACCTTAATTAGCCGGCAAAGGACCACAAAGAGATAAATCAGCCTATATTAAATTGCACATAGCTGCTAGCTTAAACTAAGAAGATCAACAGACCGCTCTCAAAAGGAAGTCAAACTTAGAGTTTTGTGATTATTAATCTAGCAACTCAACTAATTTGGATGGGATATGGTATAATATGTTTTAGCATTCAATATATTTGGACATTTGGTTGCTTACATTTCAATCTTTTGTTGACTATTTAACCTCATCCCAACTTTATCCTTTTCATCAAAACTAACAAGCCTTATTCGTCTTAAGTTTAACAACACTATCAATGTTATATAATAAAGCCTGTATAGTCATTCTCATGCATACAACCAATTAGGAGGTGAGATTCTAATAAATATTTACTTATCAAATAAAGTGCCCAATTCAACTTTATTGGTGATGATCATGGATTTACAGTTGTGCATCTTATTTTTGGTACACTGTTTCAGACACCAAAGTGACGTACATCCCTCACTATTACTGGTCAAAATTCCACTCAATACTTATCAAAAGTGTGGCCTTTAATCATCGAAATTGTACAACATTCCATGTTGGTCAAAGTTGCAATCTATGTCTCGAAATGAGTGGCAAAATAAGTGAAGATAATTCTCGTATCAGAAAGTCATGAATTTGTCAACTGCCTCTCGATCGATTGAGCCAGTTGCACAAGGTCATTCTAGTGCGATTTACTTCTCCTATGTGGTTTGCAAGACTATTACACAGGAACGAGGTTTATCCAATGAATACACTCGAGTAGTGACTGTGGGTTTCCCTTGTCCAAAAAAAAAATGTTGCAGTCTATGTCCGTCACAATTGTAACTTTGTATATTGAACACTGAAGCTAAGAATATTATGAATAAACATTGATCTTAGTACAATTTTAATGAACATAAAATATAATTATGGGAACATGTGTAAGAACATATAATATAATTTCATAAGCTTAGATGCATGATATACTTCAGAGTGCCGCTCATCATGCATAATATGGCCTTAGCTAGTAACTAGTTGCTAGTTACTAGTTAGTTTCATCTTTAAGATATTTGCCCAACTAATTCTAGTAGAACCAGTGATTCTTGACTTATATAAGTTAATATGAGTTACGTTTGTTGTTGTTGTCACACCTATACTCACACCTAGCTAGTAATTTAGTACCAAAGTTTGAAACTTTTGTGCAATTATGATAGATTCTTTAACTTGATTTGGCTTACAATTATGATCTATGCACGAGAATGGGGCTATATGTCAAGTAGATGGTGTTGTCTAACCTGGGAGGGGGGAAGGTTTTTATGGCATTGTTGTGTTAATTGACAAGGAGTAAAGATTTCATTGCTGCAAAGGCAGGAACCTTTCATTGTCGAATAGTTATGCTGTGCAACCGTGTGCACCATGTATGGTTGCAAAACGACGTCGTTTTGACTAAAAACGTGCGTCCCATTTAAAAAATAATAATTCAGTTTCGATTCCCCTCAATAGCATTATGTTGTTCATTCATTCTGGATTTTTAGTTCATTCATTGTAGATATTTAGATCATTCATTGTGGATATTTAGTTCATTCATTGTGGATATTTAGTTCATTCCTTGTGGATATATAATTCAAATTATGCACACAAAAAATGTTATTGCCGGGAATCATACCTGAATTTTTTTTTTTAAGTGGGACGAGCGTTTTTAGTCAAAACAACGTCGTTTTTGCAACCGTGTGCACCATACATGGTGCACACGGTTGCACAGCATAATTTGCATTCGTTGTCTCAGTGATGCCCAGATGCCCATACTGCTTGCTGAGACCTATGCAGTCAAGGAGGCTTTATCTTCGATAAAATCTGTAGGTTGGCGGCATATATAGAAATACAGATGAATTGCCTGAATGTATGTCAACTCCTGAACTCGTTGTACATGGACTTATCTTATGCAGGATGGGGAGATCAACAAATTTGCTGGCCCATACTTTTGCAAGGACAGCAAGTTTTAATGCTGGTTCATCTTGTTTAATGTATTCTATTCCATCTTGTATTGAACATTTATTTTCTTTAATATAATGTTCAATGGTTTACCTTAAAAAATGATCTATTCTTTAATTTGATAAGAACCGATTAATTTCATGTATATATAATGTCTATTCATACTTGTTATACTGGTTATGCTATAGCATCCTCCTCTTTAAAAAAAAAATGGTAAATAATATTTCAATGTTATTCTCGGAACAATATAAATATTTTCATATTATGTATTGTAAATGTGTAAATGTTTCATATTTTGGTACTAAATTACAAATTTTAAAAAGTTCAACTATAATTCCAACAAGAAGTCAAAAGAAAAAGATAAAATAATTAGAACTTCTAGCAGAGTAGGGTCAGTCCATCATCAACTTGATACCAAAATACCATTTCTTTTGCCCATGATGAAGAGAATGGACAAATTCTTGCACATGAGAAAAGCATTATTGGCTTATTGTGACTATTATTCTAAAGGCATCATGTTCTCTAAGCAGAGTTGATAATATTCACTCTTGCTAAGTACCAAGAATGGATAAAAATAAGAGCAACATCAACCAAGTTAGTCGAACAATTGACTTAGTAACCACAAAGTTCTAAGTTCGACTTCTCAGTCAGTTAACTATGGACAACCTAAGTTGATTTACCTCTTTATACTCCTTTACCAACTAAGGTCGCAAGATGGGCTTCACCCAAGGCTGCAGGCCTTACCATAAATCAAAAGAATGGATGAAAATGGATACTATGATGCCCATGATACTGGAAATGTTGTTCTTATCAAGGTCTGTCACACGAAACCATGTAGTATATCACATGTCCAACAAGGTATGTTCCCACAGCTAAAGAAACAACAATTCTCATTTATATATTGGAATATTAAGGCCCCTAGAAGAAGAGGTCCTAGAGGACATTGCTGATCTCAAATCCCTATATTCCCTGATTTTTATGGAAAAAGAAAGACTATGAATAGGATTTTCCTTGAAAAAAATATATGGAAAGAAAGCCAACTAATATGGAGTAACTAAAGTATTTTTCATAAAAGTTGGAAAAAAAAAAAAATTAGATTTCTTCTCAAAGTCATGCAGCTAGAGTCTTCACTAACAGATGGTTTTACCTGCGGCGCTGAATGATAACCTTGGCTTCCCATCTGTCCCAAAGTTGAACTTAATATCTGAAGGATCAGTATGGAGAGGTGTACTGCTTGTAGACGGGAAAGAGAAGACAAGGGGCGGTGAAGATTTCTTCATGCCAAAGCTGTAAGAAGGAACAGCAGAAGATGGCTCTTCTGGGTTTGAGGCAACCTTTGTGGCGGAAGATGGCATTGAGGGTGTTGGTGGTTCAGAGAGCGTACCAGATGATACAGGAACTGGGAAAGTGAATCCAAGGCCATTATCAGAGAAAATTCTGCGTCCAAGATCAGGCTTACTGATGGCAATAGCTGGCAAGGTTGGTTTTGTTCCAGAGGTATGTGCTGGCAATTCTTTTGCTGGCTTAGAGCTTAACGAGCTGGATAATGTGGAGACATTCTGCCCATTACTCTGTTGTTGAAAAGGCCAGTTTGGTACTGTCCCTCTTGGTCCGATATTAGTGCCTATCGAGCCCTGCATAGAGAAAAAAGAAATTAGTGGTGTTCAGTGGAATTGTTGCATCTTATTCCTTGCTTTAATCCCAACCGTCACTAACTAAATCAATCATCAAAAGTGTCATCTCTCACACATAAGATTACTTGTACCTATTGTCAAAAGAGAAGGATTATGATCTCAAAAGAGAATAAAGGAAACCGACTAGATACCTGATGAGAACTAGGGACACTGGAATCAGTAACGAAACCCTTGAATTGTGAATCAGTATTCTGGGAGAACAACGAAGGCCCAGCATTGGCATCAGTCTTCAAGACAGGAGCTCTAGTATTCACATCAGTGGTAGCTTTATCTACTACACCTAAACTACTATCCTCAGAATTCATCTGAACAATGCCTTTCCCGTTATCTCCACCCTTAAAAGATGTTGTGGTTCCCAACTCCGTTGTCTTTAGGACTTGAGATTCTCTGAAAAGTGGAAGGTTGACACTCCCATTTGGTCTTGCATCAGAGACGTCAGCCCAGGAAGGTTTCTTCTTCCAATCAGTAGCCAGCTTCAGTTCATCTGCCTTCTCTCTCGGTGTGGGCTTGTGCCTGCTAAAGTGGTCTAGTATTATTCTAGTTGTCTCAGTTGGAACAGCATGGTCTACTATGTTGGACTTTGAAGTCCTAATGGTTTCATCAATTCCCTTATCCGTTCCGACAGCAGGCAAGAACATTTTAGGAGCAAATGGTTTTTCAATTGGTGAGGCACCTTTGGAAGGATTCTGGAAAATGGATTTTCTGGGTTGGGTTTCTGATCCGAGTTTATTACGCATTCTCCGTATAGGTCCAACTGATCCATAACTGCTTTCAAACACATCATTCTTTGTCCTCACCTGAATTTTTGACAATACAAAGTAAAAAAGGAAACACTTTGCAAGTTATCAAATGACAAAACTACAACAGCCCCGATAAGATTACCTGCCCATATGTAGACATTTGAGACTGTTGAAAAGTCTTTGCAGAAAGGTCAAGGCACCTGCTATCACCTTGTGGCTAAAAACATATGAAGGTAAAAGAATCATTCATTGTACAACAAAACAAGTACCAGAAGTTTTAGCTAAACTAAACTACAAACCTTGGTTCTAGACTTCGATAATAAAGTTCTAGAATATGGAGTCCTGGGAAAATCATGGAGCCCAAATCTGCTTCTCTGATTCTGTGGTGTACTGTAGCCCTGCTGCTCCCGCACCATGCTACCAGGCCAACAAGGTTCTGGTTTTGATGAAGGCAATGCAAGATATGATTTATATGCATTTTCTGGATCTCGTTTTTCCTTGGTTAGAAAATGAGGCCCAGGGCTTTGATCTGGCATTCTGCTTCCCATATAAGCTCTTGCAACATCTATGGGTGAAGCACCAACTTCATCTTGCACCTGAAGAATCAAGTATTCATACATCATCCTCTATTGCTTTATCCACAAGAATGTGTATGTGTAAAAAAATTACATTTGGGTCTTCAGTGGCCAATGATAAATTTAGCTGAAAATATAGACGTGTACAAATATTATCTATTTATCTGCATCAACTTTAATTCAAGCAGGCCAGCCAAATATTTGTGTGCCCAGAGACAGAACAGTTAACGGTAGCAATTGACTCACATTTCTTTGGGGCAGGGGTGTCAAAGGTCCAAGTAGAGCTCTGTTCACATCTTCCTGTCTTCTTTCTGTTAATCTTCTTGGCGTGTCATGCAGAAGAAGAACCTCTTCAGTGTCTCTTTCCACTGTCATGCTTGGTTTCTCCTTTTCTTGCTCATCGGTAATTTTCGATTTCAAAATCTCAGTCAAACGAGTTATTTCCTCCCTGCATAGCAATGAGGACCAGTTTAATAACAAGCAGAACCAAGAACTCAAATGAAACAATATTCTTTGATATTCGATAAAAAAAAAAAAAAAAAAAAAAAAAAAAAAAAAAAAAAAAAAAAGAAAGAAATTGATGAGTGTAACCTAGAACTCATTGAAACAAGTAAACTGATAATTCATTCTCAAATGGATAATGACTTAACTGAAACCTTACATTAACTGCAACATGTGGAGCAAAGAACATGCCAAAACTGCAACATGTGGAATGGAATGAACGAGAAAAGTATTGATACTATCTAATTTAATTAATTGGGAAAAGGGTCAAATAGACCCTTGAACTTTACTCAAAAGTGTAATTAGGCCCTTCAACTTTAAAAAAGTGCAATTAAACACTCGAACTTGTCAAAATGAGTCAAATAAGTCTAAGTTACCACAATTTCCGGTGACCATTTCCACCGGAGAAGACGGCGTCCAGTCGTCTTCTCCAATGGAGAAGGTGACTGATGGTCATCTTCTCCATGGTTACCGGTAAATTAGACTTAATTGACTCATTTTGACAAGTTCAAGTGTTTAATTGCACTTTTTTAAAGTTCAAGAACCTAATTGCACTTTTGAGTAAAGTTCAAGGGTCTATTTGATCCTTTTCCCGAATTAATTTGACCTAATGAAAATAAATTTTATTTTCATTTTTGATGGCCATCATTATTCCTTCTATGTTACATGAAGAGAAAACTGAATTAAAATAAAAAAGGATTCCCAAAGAATCACGATCCTGACAGCATTAATATACCAATTGTAAGAAAGGAATAAGAGATGGAAATTTGTTATTCCACTCCATAATACCCTTATACCCATATACCATTGTTTCTAGTTAGGACCAATCAACAATATGAGGAAACTAAGATTGACCAGTGGCCAGGCTCAGAACTGATAGGTTGGCAAACTTCCTTCCATGCACCCAGCAGCCCACCTTACTCTATAGGAGTTAGGTCGGCAGTTTTACCCAAAGCAACTCATTAACACCAAAACTTAAACCTCTACTTTGGTTCTTACTTCCTTTATGCATGGTGGATGGGAGGGTGCTTTTGTACCTAAAACATGTCTCTCCTCTCTCTCTCTCTCTCTCTAAACACACACACATAAATAAACAAAAACACTTTTCCCAAGATAGTATTACTCAATTAAAGTTACATAAAAAGTATCCCCCTTCTCCAAGCCAATACCATCATCATTTCATCAAAATGCATTGCTGTTACTACTCTCAAACAAAAAGGAAAGAAGAGAATAATTCAAACAGCCAACTTAATCATAACTTGACCACCAAAAAAACATAAGTTTCACCTATTCCAAAGGATTTATACTTTATTTGTTCTAGTCCAAGTAAGATTACTAAACTAGAGACTAATGCTGCAGTTTTAGAGTATAGTATAAAGATAAAACTAAATCTTCAACCAAAATAACAACAACAACAACAACAACAATAATAATAATCTTAATAATACATAGAGCTGGTAAAGTGCTCAAAAGAAAGCATAAGCAGCAATAATACTGGTACCTAGAAAATGTTTTCCCTTTCATCAGCTGCTCAATTCTGGAAATCTCAGAATCATCATGTGAGTTGTCTTGTATCTGCCCCAGCTTTTCATCTTGAGACATTCTCTTCTCTTTATCTAATAGTTCATTAGGATCCTTCCTTTCAGTAGATTTGAATATTACAGACTGCATAAACATAAATTTGAACATTTTTACAGGATTCTTTCAACTACAGAGAAGTCATCTAAAGAACATCCACTGGAAGGGCAGTAAAGCAAGAATTAACATCTTTTCCTGTTAAATATTTGGAGTCAATTTTTGAACAGTTTAAGAAAGTATTCAAAATACTACCCAATAAAAAAATAATCCTAGCTATTCAAACTACTAGTAATCCTAGCAGCGAGAAATTAGATATCAGTTAAAAGATTTTATTTAACTATCTAATTCATTATTACAGTTGTAGATTGTGATTACAAGAATCTCCTGTGTGCAAAAAAATAATTATCATATTGGTATCCATTGTTTAACTCTCCTAAAGAGGAATCATCATTCATCTCTTCAAAAATTCTTGAAGCACAAACAAGATTCATTTCCATGGTTATTCATTTCAGTTATAGAAGACCATAATAAGCTTTGTATCAACAATCTAACCTGTCCTAAGTAGTACTCCTTTGTTCCATGTTTAAACATTACCCATTCCTTTTGTAGGCCATCCTAAAATTATGTCCACTGTTTTTAATAATATTTTATTATACAAGACACTTAAAGTAATGGATCACCATTGGTCCATTGCGCACTCATGAAGTAAGAAAAGAAGACCTTTCCATATGGCCCTTATCATCACATTCACATGTGGTGTTATGTTGAGTTCCTCAAACCTTAAAGTATATATAAGGTGAAATGTGCCCATCCATAATGGAATACAGTACTGTAGTATTAACTATAATGTAATTATAGTATTCAACTACAGTCAACTATTTCTTGATTATGATGTGTGGGGTTCAACACCAAAAAAAATAAAAAATAAAAAATAAAAAAAATAAAAAAATAAAAAAATAAAAAATAATAATAATAATAATAATAAATAAATAAAGATAGTTCGCCTAATGCCCTTCAAACCCCTACAACAAAGAGAAATATACCTAAGGTTGTTTCATTGGGTTGGGAGGTAAGTAAAAACATTGGCTGTTAGGTTCATGAATCTAAAACCACCAAAAAATTTAGTAAAAGCTTACACTTGAAGTGCACTTCTCTTCATCCTTTGCACTCAGTATCACCTCCTCATCTTCTGTATCTGACCAAAAAGGCATACCGAGTTTGACAATGGGAAAATATGACAAGGCATAACAGAGAGCGTATGATTAAGGTAGAGATAAAAGTGGAAATCAAAAACATCATCCAAAAACAAAATGCACCCATGTGATTCCAGTTTTAGTTTAGCATTTATTTTTCAAAAACAAAAACAAAAAATGTAAACTTCATGAACTCTATATTCCCTTTTCTATAAGCTCATAAATCCAGTTCTAAGTTCTAAATACATATTCTTAAAATTTCACAAAAGTGTTGCAACTGATTGTCAATCATATCCACTTGTGTTAGCACCATGAAACAATAAGACTTCTCAATCCGATTGATTTCCACTAAATAAGAAAATCCAAACAATTTCATCTATAAAAGAATCAACTTGCAAGCATATTTAATTAAAACAAAATGCCATAGCAAACAAAAAGCCCCATTAGAGTTTGTCAAACTGATTATGATACTAACTCATTACCATTAGCTTACTTGCAAGTAAATAAATTAGTAGTAGGAGCAGCAGCAGTAGCAGGTAAGGGGGGGAAAGAACAACTTTATCAAAAATAACCAAAAAGCTTCAATTTTTTTTAACTTAAAACTCACTAAAGCATCAGGATCCAGGAGCACAAAAATAGCATACAAATTGACTGTCAAGCCTGTAACCTTACAAACCCTAGCACATCCAAATGTGAAATTCAAAAATCGAAATTAGAAATAAATATGCACAAGGATCAATTTTAACGCCCTCAACCTGCTGCAATATAACGTAAAATCAATTACACCAAGCAATCAACTCTACCAAGCTGTAAACCGACCAACCCTAGCATTCAATTGCCATGCCATAAAGTAGCATACATGCAAATTTAATGCAATATAGGTGAACAGAATACTGTATATGTGCATTAAAAATAAAAAATAAAAAGGAACTAGTCAAACTACCGTTGCTTTCGGCGACAGGAAGAAGAGGGGGGGCCCTGGTTAAGAATGAGGGGATGATCCTAGTGGCGCCGCCGGAGATTAGTCGGTAGGCTGGATCAACGAGTTTCGCTAACCATCCGCCGCGTCTCGCCGGCACAGCTAGTGGTCGGGCGTAGGGACTCGCAGGTGGCTTCCTTGACGGCGGCTTCTTGAACTTCCCTCCGCCGCCTCTCTCCCCGTCCCTACCGTTGTATAGCGGCTCCGCCGCCGCCGCCACCGCCGTCTTCGCCTCCATCTTTGTCTCTTTCTCTCTCTCTCTCTCTCTCACGGCAAAGTCTCAGCGACGGAGCTGTTAATTCTATTTTTGAATTAAAAAAAAAAATAAAAACAAAATCTCTTTTGACAGAACGAAGCTCTTCTCTGCTGTTATTTGGAGTATCCAGAAGTCAAAGAAAGTCTTTGAACATAATAAGCTCTCTCCTGGGATACGCCCATTATGATATAAAATTAGGTTAAAATTAAAATTAGATAGATATAATATATATATATATATATATATATATATATATATATATATATATATATATATATAGACATAGGGTCTAGCTCCCATGAGAATTAGACTTCGGGTGAGAACGTACGGACTGATCTCATAAGTCTATCTAAGATGATCAATGACTGAAAATTAATGAAAAACACGGTGACATTTTTACAATTATAATTGTGCGTTCAAAAACGTTTGACAATGTATTTGCAGATAACTTATAAATTGCATTTAAAAACTCTTTTCCGAATTCACTGTCATGCATTTTCAAATGTACTATCAACCGTTTCCAAATATATAATCACAATTACATAAATGTCAGCACCTTTTTCTTAATTTTTACTTTTAATCATTGATCATCTTAGATTGAAGTATAAGATTAGTTCTCATTTGAATATTTATGTTAAAGTTCATATTGAATGCATGGACAATGTTTTTTTTTTTTTTTGACTTTTTTTCCTCATTTTTTGATTCAATTGTTCAAAAGTAAGGGAGAGAAAGACTCATAGACTTTTTATTACTAGATGATTTGAATTCAATAATATGCTAACAAAAGTAGGTAAATAATAGAGATTATCCACAGTTGTACTTGTAGCACATACCTAATTGGTACTGGGTCCACCCACCGAGTAGGGCCGGATTCGAGCACTGCCGACCTGATTGTGTGTTTGTCCGACCTAAATCCCATACCAAGTGCCATAACATCCCGTGTTACGGCCTCTAACTCAAACTAATTATTTAATTACTTACCCTTAAAAGGGAATTAAATCACCTTAATTAATTAGGAAGGGTCCACCATAGACCATGGACCCTTATCCCTAAAACCAAACCCTTAGTCCTATAAGAACTAGAATTAGTAAACTCATACCATTCAGGCCCTAATTAGGACTCTTAGTTATATATAAGGACATATGAGGCACCTAGAATTCACACCACAATAGCTTTCACCACACAAGAATTCCCAAGAATTCTCCTATCACCAAATGTAGGAGAAATCAAGAAGAGGAGATCTTATAGAAAGAACCTTTATAGCCAAGGACTCTAATTAAGGCTAAGAGGTAACCCATGTTTCAACAAAACCTATTTTCCTTGCTATAATCTTCTTCTTTGGCTCCTTTTGATATACAATTATATGCTTGTGTCTTGATAAATCTTTTATGATGATATTGATATGATCTTGATGTTGATGAGATGATCTTATGTGTTGATCTTGATCATCTTGATGATTGTGTATTGTTCTTGATAAATCTTGATGTTCTTGATTTTAAAAGATCAAATTATGATTTTGTGATTTTAATATGATTAGAGCCATAGGTTAAATCGTGAATTTCGTATTGTGATATTCTTGGTATGTTTGGGTGGGATTTCGCATGTTCGGGTGTTGATTATGTTTAGAAGTCATGTTAGGATGTGTTTAATGTGATTCTTGGTTTTGATCCATTACTTGACTACTTGGCGTCGTCGTTTGTGTTTAAAAGTGTCTAGACATGGTTTCGGGTTCCACGAAAGATCCCGGGTGTCGCCACCCGCTGCCCCTATTGGTGTCGCCGGCAGCGGGCAGGCGACTGCCCGCAGGGCACTCGTTGCCCAGAAGCACGCCACCAGCGGGTATGGTGGTTTTCCCTGTTTGATGTTTCCCTGTCCCCCGTGGAGTCCCAACGGATCCCATTTGTCGTGCTTGAGTCTAGTTTGATGTTTCGGGTACCATTCGTAGGATAAAAGAGTCTTGTGTATTGCATGCTAGTTGAATTGGTATCCCGTTGGCCTAGGTGAAAGATGTATGAACCCCTTAGGAATGTCCCTAGTATGTGGATGACCACGCGTAAGTTTTATTTATACGTTTTTCCCCCTTCCCAATGTGTTAATGTGGGTTGCATGTGCTTGCTATGTGTTTTGTGTGCATGATACCCCAATTTGGTTGCGATCAAATTGGCTATACGGGCAGTTGGATGTGTTGAGAACCATCGGTTGTTAACCAGGCCGGTTGCGATCGGTCAGGTATATAAATATTATATAGGGCTGCGGTCCACCGTTTGGTTGCGATCAAACGTTATACATATATGAGCTGCAGTTCATAATCTGGTTGCGATCAGAAATACACTTTTTGGGCTGCGGTCCACCGTTTGGTTGCGATCAAACATTATGATGAGCTGCGGTTCATCAGTTGGTTGCGATCAACCCCTTCATGCTGCGGTACGAGGCAGGATGCTGCGGTCCTGTGGCGCCACCAAAGTGTGCTTATGTGTTGAGATAATGATTGAATAACGATATGAATGGTGTGAAATAAATCTTGTGACCTTAGGATATATGCTAGTATCTTTATATGCATGATTATAACTGTTAAATGTGCTTGTACCTACTTGTTGAGTCTATTCTCAGTTTTAAAGCTAGAGTCTCCTAAGTATATATCTTCCGGCTTCAAAATGGTTTTCCTATATCTATATATATACATACCTATATTGTATTTTAACGCGTTGGAGTGGGTTACCAGCATTATTCGCTGAACAGATATATTTGGCTTTCAGGCACAGATGAGTAGCTCCGGAGCGCGCTAGAAGACTCAAGGCTTAGATAGTTAGCTTCCTTTTCGGCCTGCGTGTCATAGTGATGTAATGACATTGTTTTGAGGATAATTAGATAGTTTAGCCTGTGCATCTGAGTTCTCCAGCTCAGATGTGGCATAGCACCCTAAACACTTATGTTTAGTATGCTCTGTTTTTTGGATTTAATGATAGTATTACCTTCATTTTATAAGCTTTGAAAGTTTAAAATTTTAGGGGTGTTACAAGTGCAATTCCACTGATCAGGCGGAGATCAGTATATGTTGCCCTGCCCCGACCTCATTAGGTCGAGACCAAGCACCCGGCCTGTCATACTTAGAGCCTTAAGCCTAGTTCTCTTAACTGAATTCGGTGGTAGCAGGCCTAATGGAATCATGAATTTGTGGACACATGGGCAAACTAGCCAGGGCCCCGACCTCACCTAGTGCATGCGATCTATGTGCCACGCATGCCGGAGGACCGGCAGATGTTCCCTTATGCCTCCTATAAATATCGTATTAAATGCGAGGAGAAACGACTTTTGTCATTCTCCATATACTGACCTTTAGCTCGAAAATCTCTAACTCACTGTCACGTAATCCGAGCTTAAGGACTTAAACCAACAAGTAGACCACAAAAGGTTCGAAATCAGATCTGATCACCGTACTTTACGAATTAGTAGAAATCTTCGTATTTACTACATCAGTGAACAAACATGGTAATGAATATCAAATCCGATAATAAGGCACCATGTAAGATATATTAAATATAATATATTTAATATAATATATATTAAATATAATATAATATTATTTATATATATTGAGAAGAGAGAGAGAGGAATAGATAACTGATTTAATTGATGATTTAAAATGCTTGAATAACAAAGCTATTTATACTAGATAAGTAACACTAAAAATGCTAAAATGAAGGAACATGAAGCCATGTACTGCTCTCATTATTTCCACATAATGCTGCATCCATCCCATGTAATGCTCCCATTTACTTTCTAACAAACTGACTCTAAATACTTGGTTTAACATAATAATAATAATAATAATATTATTATTATTATTATTATTATTATAACACACCAAAATCACAAATGAAATGCCTATATAATCTTTGATAATTAGGTTTAATTTATTAAATTTGTATTGAAGTTTAAAAAATGAATTAAATTAAAAATCAAATTATGGTACTCACAATGCGATATTTCATTCAATGTAATGAGTTCTTTGTGAAATCAAATAGTCTTTTTACCTAAAATGTTGTTTGAATTATTTGTAATTTATTCATTCACAATTTTGTCGGATCGAAGTGTCGGGTTAGAGCCAATAGAGGGTGAAATAAATTAAACATTGCCAACTGGCTGCTAAGCCGTCGAGACAGTTGTACATAGACATAGTGACCAGAAGAAAATTTAAGGAAAAGACATTAAACAAAGATGAAGGAACAAAGAACCAAACATTTCAACTAAACAAAATTTTTAATGTCGTACACACTTTATTTCCTTTTCACATGAATAATTACAAGAATTTAACACAGAACAAAAGACAATGCAGTTTGACAGGCCAAAATTAGCATGTTCACTGCTAGCCTAGTACCTACTAGCTAGTATAAAAAAAAAAGTGCAAAATTCGAGGGGAAAAAACGAAATTTACAAGGAGTAAAACAACATTGGAAAGGTTAAGTTAGAAGGAAATTGATAGGATTATAGGAAATTTGATTTAATCTTTTTTTAAAATTATATTTATCACTTTCATAATTGCAAGATTAATCCAAATTAGTTTTGTGAAGGAACAATTCGAACTCAATTCGTCAATAAATATGTCAGTCAACTCGACTAGGCCTATATAATCAAAAAATTACCCAATCTATATTTTATAATGACATAAGTCATCAAAGTACATTATTGTCATGCTTAATCAGCCAACCAAGGAGTGTCACGTTAGCTTATATGTAAGGTGTCTTCATTGCATAGACATCTTTGCTCTTTTATGTAAATAACTTTTTGGACCTGTGTACTAGATCATACACCATTTCACATCTCACTTCTTCTTTTAAAAAAAAAAAAAAAATGAGATTCATCAACTAAACCAAGTCAGACATCATGAGGTCATTACAAATGGGAGGTGTGGAAATCATTCACAAAAAAAAGAACATGAGTAATATGCATGCTTCGCAGACCGTTTAACAAACAAGAAATTGAAATATTGGAAATCATTTAATGTTTCTTTGATATCTTTAATAATAAAACTAGAACACTGGTTAAGATTAGTATCAGCAGACTATAGTTCTTGAAATCTTGAATAATGGTAAGAGCAAACCGTTTAACAAACAAAAAATTGAAATATTGAAAATCATTTAA